GGGGGGTGAATGGATTCATTTGAAAGGTAGTGCTGGAGGAGAGCTTTGTGGGGATCCCGGACAGCCAGAGAGATAAACGAGGGGGGTCTGAACTCTCTCTGGAGGTGAAAATGATGAAACTGATGCTGTTCTGCTTTCGACACCTCATGAGAAGGCCGGCTTCTCTGGAAAAACTGAGGCTGTTCTGCTTTGGGCACCTCACGAGAAGGCCGGCTTCTCTGGAAAGGTCCATCATGGTGGAGAAAGTTGGAACGCAGCAGGAAATGAGGAAGACCAAAATACGAAATGGACTGGCCCTCTAAAGGAAACCATAGAGTTGGTTTTCCAAGAGCTGGGGAGGGCTGTGGAGGTCATTCATAGGGTCGCTGTCAATTAGAGGCCACTTGACGGCATGGAACAGATACAATTTGCTTGTGTTTAAACATCTCAGAGGCTCAGGAGGGAGCAAGGTGACTCCCTCAACAAGAACTGAGTGGGCCCTTCCATCTGGGCAGATGGACCCACAAGCAGTAAGGGGTCGAAGACAGTAAACAGAAAAGCCAACGGAGGCAGAAAGCCACCGTGTTTTCGGGAAGCAGGGTCTTGGTGGAAAGGAGACTTAGGGAATCCCAATGGAAGCCAGTCTCTCTCCACCGGCTCTACCTCACAGGGCTGTTGTGAGCATAAAAAAGAGCCGGAGGGAAAGAAGCCAAATCCACCCCCTTGAACTCAAGGTGTGGCACAAAGGCCTGAAACTTAGGGTTCCCAACCTGGGGTCCACAGAGGTTCTTGGACTAAAACTCCCAGAAACCTTCCCCACCAGGATTTCTGGGAGATGTAGTCCAAGAATATCTGGGGACCCAAGGATCCGGGATGACCCCCTGCCCGGTCTGTTTCAGCTGGAGGTTCTCTGCATCTGCAGGGGGGTGGGGTTGAATTAGGTGGGGATCGGTGGTGAGCTCCACCGACCGCCCCACGTGTCGGCTCTCCGCGGGGGCAGGACTTGCCTCCGGCAGCCTGGGCTGGAGCTTCGGCCGGGCTTCTCCGCCCCCTGCCCGGCCCAACCCTTCCCACCCCTCCCCAGGCGGGTTCGGGCCGGCGGAGGCGGGGAAGTGGCCAGTCGGCCTTGCCCGCCTCTCTGCCAGCCGTCGTTCCAGGCTCCCGCTCCTCCTCGCAAGCAAGCCTTCCTCGGTAAGTCGCTCCCTCTGTTTCACCTCGCGGCGCCTCCGCGGGAGGAGGATTTCGGTTGCCCCGGGGGCTTTTTCAAGAGAAAACCGGGGGTGGGTGTCCCTTGGCCGCGCGTAAAAACGCTGCGCCCTGGGCGCATTTGGGTGGGTCGCCAGGAAAGTTGAAAACATCGCCTTATGCGAGAGGCACCCCCCAAATTTGGCATGATGATCAAAAAACATAGCGTTCCGGCAAGGGTTTGGAAATAAGTTCTCTCTCTCAGAAAAATAACTTGGACAAACTCTCCTGCTCGGATGGGAAACCACAATCCTCTTGCAAAAGGGGGACCACAGCCCTCTCCTTCTACAGGCGTCCTGGGAAAAGGGAGTGGCCCTCATGGAAATCCTTCCCCGGGTTTCTTGGGAAGAAGGGGCGCGGAGAGGGGCGCCCCCCGTCCTAAATTTGTGGCACGGGTCGCCTAAGGAGGGGGTTATTTTGGGCACCTTTCGTTTGGATGCTTAGAGAGACGGTCGCCGGAGGATGGGAGAGGCAGGCTTAAAAGCTGGTGCAGAGAGGGTCTCTGCGTAAAAAGGGAAGGGTGGGTTGGCGCGGAGGAAGGGGCAGTTTGGGACTGTGGAAAGGGTGGGGAAATGTCACCAGATGAAGAAATTTGCCCCCAAGCTCAAAGAGGGACTAAGAGAGACAGAGCCTGCCCCACCCCATGGAGCTGATGGGATAAGTTAAGAGGGTTAAGTGACCTTCCCTGGAGTTCCTTGGGGGGGTCCTCCATGCTAGAAAATGCATTCCCTAAAAGAACATCAAGATTCTTTTATTTTCCGAAAGGTGCACAAGGTTCTAGTCCTCAGGGTTCCGAAGGGGCTGCTTTTCCTGGCAATATAAGCAGCCTGTCTTCTCAAATCAGGCCAGTGGGCCCTGTAGCAAGCAACTCTCTTTCCCCGCCCTGGTTTTCAGACCGGGCATTGTGCCAGCCAAAACTGTAGGCACCGGGACTTGAACCTGGAACCTTCCGCCTGTAAGGCATGACTTTCGCTACTGTGGTGCAGCCTGCCTGTCTTTAACACCCTTGAGAAAGATGTCCCAATCTTTTTACATCAAAGAGAGCCGGTGCCAGGATCTGAGCAATGTAGGGAAGCTTGGATTTTGTTCCCCGGGCATAGTTTTATTAATTTCCCTTATTCCTCATCACGGTTTTATGTGTCTGCTGTTTCTCCAGCACAAAACTGTGCATGTTTGCCACAGCCCCAGAAACAATGTAATTAAAAAAGCATTTCCTGATCATTCAGTAACAGTTGCAACTTAAGAGGTGAATAGTCCCTCAAGTAGGCAAAACATTTCACGTAATACATATACAGAGAGAGGGGGAGGGAAAAATCTGCTGTGCTAAAGGCCTAGCAAACAAACTAATACTTCAAAGAATAAGTCTACATAGTAGTAAAAATACATATTATCCAAAGTTCCATCCTGTCTCAGCCGCAGAGCACCAAAACCTCCCTGTGGTCGTCAGATTTAGCAGATTTTGACAATGATGCTATTTTGAAGACTACATTGGCCAAAATCCTGCAGTCGGAGAGGTCTGGGGTCGACAGGGGAACATGGGCCAGGTTTTGCAAGACTGCTGGCTAGATGGCCTTCTGGGCAAAGTGCTTCAGAGTCGCCTGAAATGTGTTAAATATCAAGGCTGCCCCAAGGAAATGTGGACAGCTATGGCTTGGATTAACTAGTTGTTAAGTCATCCCTGTTTCTTCACCTCTAAGATAATCTTCGCTGGTTCAGGCAGGTCAAAGTCTATTCAGCCCGGGAATGGTTTGGCATAAACCATTTCTAGCAATAACCAGTAGGTTCAGGCTAGACTACCCACCCCAATGTTGACCCTCGGAGACTACCCACCGCCGGAAAGATGGGTCCGGCGTCAGAGTGAAGGGATCCATCCTCTTTGCCTCATTTTGCACCCTCCACCCCGGCACAGACAGCTCTCCAACCCCCCGGGAGCAGCCCTCGGCATTGTTCCACCATGATGAGTAATCTGTTTCTCCACCCTTGATAAAAGGAATCTGTTCCCGGACCAAAGCCATTTTGATGTTTGCTTTATGCTTTATGGCCTATCTATTAAAAGATAAATGGGGGTGGGTGGGTGACAGGAGGTAAAGCACTGGGCTCGGTTAGTCCTTATTAAAACATTGTTGTGAGGTGTCCGGCTGCTCCCCCCTGTCCTGAAACATCTGGCCAGCTGTACCCCCATGCTTGTTTCCCCCTCTTTTTCCGAACTTTGAGTTTCTTTGCCTTTGGAGGTTGCTTTTAAAAGAGGGAGGTGGCTGATGACTTCTTTCCTTGGGAAAATTCTGGATCTCAGTTCCGCGGCCCCTGTCCGTGGCTCTTAAGAGGTGCTGCTTGTCTGTGTTTTTGGGTATGCATGAGGCACCCTCCTCGAAATTTCTGAGGAGCTGCCTTTTGTGTTTGGGCGAAAGGGGCTCGGATGAAAGCCTTCGAAAGGGCCGGGAGACAGAGAGGGTCTCAGAAGGCAAACCCTGTTTGGCCTGGCTGGCGAGATCTGGGAAGGTCTTGTGAGTTTCGGTGGCCTGCTTAAGATGGCGTGGAGACCACATGGCTGGCAAGGAGGTGTGGGTTCTTTTTTTTCCCCTCACATGCAGGGATCTGTCATCCTGGCAGAAAAGGCCACTTCCGGGCCGTCCCTTCTGCAGCTGTGCGGAAGGGAAGGGTGGGGCTCGTCTTCATTCACCTTCCTGGAAAGGCCGCTTGTCGGACGCCAAGCAATTCAGGAGAGCCCCACGGAATGAGAGTGAGGGGCCCTGAGGCCTGCCCAGAGGCATCCTAAATCAGCCAATCTCTGGCTAGCTGTGTGTCTGGTTCTCAGAGGAATTGATTCTCTACACCTCTCTCCCCTTTTAGTGTGGCTTAGGCAAGGGGTGTAGCTTGTCTCCTACTGAAGTCCCCAGTGCAACCCTGTGAGGTAGGACAGTTGGAGAAACAGACTGACCAGCCCAAGCTCTCCCAGTGACCATTACCATTCCTTGGACTTGAACCTTAGATCTGCCCCACATTTCAACCCGGGCGCCTCCTTGCCTTTCTTCCCATGGACTACTCCCATGCTCAACCATGGGGGCGTCTCAGAGCATCACAGCTTAGAAAAAATACCTATAAGGCATTCTTCAGACAACTGTGCCCATGAAATATATGGATGAGATTATTCACAGTTAGCTTTGCAGCCTGAGGCTGGTCGGATCGGCAGTTCTGTAACCTGGGGGTGGGGTGGAGGGGCGCAGCTGGCCGACCTCTGGCGTAGAATACCAATGGAGGGGGTCACACTTGAGATGTTGTTCTGCAAACAAATGGCATTCCCCTAAAGCAAACAAAGTTTGCTGGATCTTCAAGTCACAGCAGCTCCTTTGATCAGAGTTACTCAGCCTGAATGGCATTCCATCTCTGAGTAACACTTTTTGCTGCAGGAGAAGAATAATGGCCACCATTATTACACACCCAGGACAGGCAGGAGAGTTTCCAGCACCCGAGTCCATTCTTCCTCTCTCTTATTACACACCCAGGACAGGCAGGAGAGTTGCCAACACCCGAGTCCATTCTTCCTCTCTCTCTCCCTCTCTCTTTCTCTGCTGCAGTAGGTAGAGGAATGACTTACAGGCCTGCAGTTCTGCACCCCTGCCAGCTGCCTGCAGATCGATATTTTATGGTCTGCCTCCAGAGTTCTGGCATCGTAAAGCTCTCACACAAACATACCCTTGCGAGGGGAGAGCCACACCCAGATCGGCTGATGCCTAGAAGATGGATCAGCCGAAGCCCTGGAGGCACACTGCACGGTGCAGCCACATCCGGATTTATAACAGGGAGAGGAGTGGTTTTTAGATGTAACGTTTTCATTCCTCTTTACGTATTTCTGTAATGCAGGATATGCCATGTGGTGGTCCGAGTTAGGGCAGATCTATTGAATCCGTAGGATTTACATGTTGATTTGCCACTAGGGATGGGATTTGGGGGATTTTTTGGACTACAAATCCCATTGTTCTCCATTCTGGGAGTTCTGTCAAAAGAACAGACACCTAAACGTGGCTCGCCTGGGAGAAAGGCCTTAACTAGGCCTAGCTCTGTCTGGCTTCTGATTCTAAAACTCCCAGCTAGCACCAGGGCAGGAACAGGAAGTTCGGGTGGACCTAGGCCTAGCTAGGCCTCAGAGGCCTTCTAATCTAGGCCTTTCTCCCAGGCGAGTCACATTTAGGTGTGTGGAATATGCCTGTCTGTCAGGTAGAACTCCCAGAATGGAGAATGACGGGATTTGTAATTTTAAAAATCTGAAAATTCCATCCCTACTTGCCATTCAGCAATTGATTCATTACTTTCCACACACAAAAAAAAAATAGAATTAAAAATCCTCAAGTTTTTGAGGATTTTGTTGACGTTGTTGATGATGATTAGAAGAAGAATTAAATTCTGGGAGAGCTGGGTTTTACCACACATATCAAAGTGCCTCTGTGTGTACTTTTTTTTTAATGAAGGAAGCAAGTTGCTAGTCCTTAAGATGGTGAATCGAGCAACTAGGCTTAAGATGACAAGTTACCAGTCCTCAGGATGGCAAAGCACATGGATTCACATCTTCTGAAACTGGGAGGAGTGCACCATACCAGCGATGTTTCTGCATGGAGTCCCCTCCAGAGAGGCCCACGGTTGTTCACATCTTCTGAAACTGGGAGGAGTGCAGATTGTCCAGTAAGATGGTGGCATAGATGGACTGGGCCTTTTTTTTCCCCCCCTGGAGCTGTGCCCGTTTCTGGTCTTTCCCCCACCAAGTAAGATTGGGGTCCCGTTTGTAAATTCTTACAGCCCAAAGCCAAGCAGCAGGAATAGTTTTAATCAATGTCAACCATGCTGCCAAAAAAAAAAAAAAAAAAAGGGATTTTGTGGCTGTAAGATTTTCATTCCCC